CTATCTTCTAGTTTTGGCATGTTTAATGCGTCTAGTCTCTCCTTGTAACTCTTGTTTTTCAGTTCTGGAAGCCATTTTGTAGCATGCTGTTGCACCTTTTCCAGTTTATTTATGTGCTTCTTGAGATTTGGGAACCATACAACTGTTGCATTTTCCAATTTTGGTCTCGCAAAAATCATGAACAGTTTTAGTACTTAATCATTCATATACGTACAGTAATTAAAAGCAAGTCTTAAGTTGGAAAGTGATGCGTACCCTCCTCTCACAATTTTCTTTGTGTTCCTCTGGCGACAGCTTCAAAACCACCCCTAGGTTTCGTTCTGTATTAGTGCTGTAATTCCTTTCCACATAATTTGTCAGTTGTGTGTGTAGTCAATTTTCTCCAATTCCACATTCCATAACATGGCATTTATTCACATTGAATTCCATTTTCCACTTGATGCTCCAAGCACTTATTTTCTCTTGGATAAATTTGAAGGGCATTGCAATCGTCTGCGTCTCCTATCTTTCCCAGTTTCTTAGCATCATCCGCATAGTGTATGTGTGTAATTACCCAAGTGTAGTCACAATGTGAAAATGTGAAAAGAAATAGTACATTGTAGTCACAATGTGAAAAGAACAGAGGTCCTGCATCCACTATAAACAACAAAACAATCATGGAAAATCTATTCGTTATATATTTATAATTTTGCACATGGCACATGATAGAACAATCATTGATGAAAAGTTCCATATCAAAATCATCACTATGTGACCATTATTGGTGGCTGCAAATATGACATAATGGCCAGGATTTCCATATACCAACTGTATCAGTCTTGATATAAATATTCAGAAAAAATCCATATATTATGAATCCTTCATTTTCACTATGGCATTTGATAGAGCAACCACCTACAGACAGTTTAGTGTAAAAAAGCAACATATTTGAGCATTATTAAATCCAATCAAGCGAAATCGCATAATTTTCTCCACAAACTGATGAGAGGAGTGGGCAGTTAGCTGGCCATAGGTGGTTAGGGAGGGGTCATTGTACAGTAGTAGGTCGGCAGTAGGGGAAGGGGGGAGTGGCAGCCAGACTGGTAGGCCTTAGGCCAGACCAGCCCAGGCATACACTGCAAGTTTGAGTGTGTAGTGCCCACCCATCCTAGCCTCCCTGCAGGATTTCATTATCATGCTATAGATTGTTTCATATCAACAATTGCATACTCAGATAGGGGGCAGGGGGGGGGGGGGCTGTCAAGTCACCAATTCGGGCCGGTGAGGTACCTTACTGGTTTGCTCTACTCTTCTGCACTTCACGTCTGGAGTTTCTGACGCAGGGGTATCACCATCTGTATAGTGACCAGGTGGTCTTCTCTCCTGGTGTCCCACCTGCAGTCTTCTTGTAATTACCCAAGTGTAATTACCTAAGTGTAGTTACAGGATGAGAGCTACGCTCGTGGTGTCCCGTCTTCCCAGCACTCTTTGTCATATAACGCTTTGAAACTACTGACGGTCTTGGCCTCCACCACCTTCTCCCCTAGCTTGTTCCAACCGTCTACCACTCTGTTTGCGAAAGTGAATTTTCTTATATTTCTTCGGCATCTGTGTTTAGCTAGTTTATATCTATGACCTCTTGTTCTTAACGTTCCAGGTCTCAAGAAATCTTCCCTATCGATTTTATCAATTCCTGTTACTATTTTGTATGTAGTGATCATATCACCTCTTTTTCTTCTGTCTTCTAGTTTTGGCATATTTAATGCCTCTAACCTCTCCTCGTAGCTCTTGCCCTTCAGTTCTGGGAGCCACTTAGTAGCATGTCTTTGCACCTTTTCCAGTTTGTTGATGTGCTTCTTAAGATATGGGCACCACACAACTGCTGCATATTCTAGCTTTGGCCTAACAAAAGTCGTGAACAATTTCTTTAGTATATCGCCATCCATGTATTTAAAAGCAATTCTGAAGTTAGAAAGCGTGGCATAGGCTCCTCGCACAATATTCTTTATGTGGTCCTCAGGTGATAGTTTCTATCTAGAACCACCCCTAGATCTCTTTCTTTATCAGACTTCTTTAAAGATTTCTCACATAATATATAGGTTGTGTGGGGTCTATGTTCTCCTATTCCACATTCCATAACATGGCATTTATTAACATTAAATTCCATTTGCCAAGTGGCGCTCCATGTACTTATTTTGTCCAGGTCTTCTTGAAGGGCATGACAATCATCTAAGTTTCTTATCCTTCCTATTATCTTAGCATCAAAAGCAAACATGTTCATATAATTCTGTATACCAACTGGTAGATCATTTATGTAGATCATTTATGTAGACAATAAACATCACTGGTGTAAGAACTGAACCCTGTGGTACTCCACTTGTGACATTTCTCCAGTCCGATACATTGCCTCTGATCACAGCCCTCATTTTTCTATCAATCAGAAAATTTTTTATCCATGATAGAAGCTTACCTGTCACCCCTCCAATATTTTCCAGTTTCCAGAACAACCTCTTATGTGGAACTTTGTCGAAAGCCTTTTTTAGGTCCAGATAGATGCAGTCAACCCAACCATCTCTTTCCTGTAATATCTCTGTGGCTCGATCATAGAAACTGAGTAAATTCGATACACAGGATCTTCCAGATCGAAAACCATACTGTCTGTCTGATATTATATCATTTCTCTCCAGGTGTTCTACCCATTTAGTTTTGATTAGCTTTTCCAATACTTTCACTATTACACTTGTCAATGATACAGGTCTATAATTGAGGGGGTCTTCCCTGCTGCCACTTTTGTAGATTGGAACTATGTTAGCCTGTTTCCACACGTCTGCTACGATTCCTGTACACAGGGATGCCTGAAAGATCAGGTGAAGTGGAATGCTGAGCTCAGATGCACATTCTCTCAGAACCCATGGTGAAACTCCATCTGGGCCAGCTGCTTTGTTCTTACCGAGCTCCTTTAGCATATTTTCCACTTCATCTCTAGACACCTCTATCTGCTCTATGTTGTTCTCTGGAATTCTTATTGTGTCTGGTTCTCTGAAGATTTCATTTTGTACAAACACACTTTGGAACTTTTCATTTAATGTTTCACACATTTCCTTTTCATTTTCCATGAATCTGTTTCCCATTTTCAACCTCTGGATATTATCCTTTACCTGCAATTTGTTGTTTATGAATTTGTAGAATAGGCCCGGTTCTGTTTTACATTTATCCACTATCCCTTTTTCAAAATTTCTTTCTGCCTCTCTCCTTACTGCTGTATAGTTGTTTCTCGCATCTTTGTATCGCTGGTATGTTTGGGGGTTTGGCCTCTTCCTATACCGATTCCATTTTTGTGTCTTTTGGTCTCTTGCCCTCTCACAATTTCTGTCGAACCAATCCTGTTTTATGGCCCTGCATCTCTGTTTTGGTATAAATTTTTTTGTGCCTTTATCATATATTTCACAAAACTTGACATACATCTCATTCACTTCCTTGCCTAGCATCAAGTCTGTCCAATTATACTCAATAAAAAAATTTCTAAGGTCACCATAATGTCCTCTCCTGAAGTCTGATTTTTCAACTGCTTCAACCTCCTTATTTTCTTCCAGCTTATAACGCATTGCATACTTTATTCCCAAAAAGACATGGTCACTTTTACCCAAGGGAGGAAGGTACTGAATGTCAAGTATCTCTTCCTCCTTCCTGGTAAATATCAAATCTAGCATGGAGGGGACGTCCCCTTCCCTCATCCTCGTAGCTTGTTTAACATGTTGATACAAGAATGTTTCCAGGATGAGGTCTACAAATTTACAGGTCCAAAAATCTTCTGTTTTAGCTTCATTTTTTGTGACAGTATGAAGTCTCTTGACAGTCTTTTCGCCACTTCCTTTCCCTGCGTAGGTTGTCTTTGGTCTCGGATCGTGTTGTGTTCTTTCTTGGCTCTTTCAGGATAGGCATCTTATGCCAAATACTGTTGCCTTATATTGTGCGGCGCTGGTGGAGCAGCTTCAGCTTGCATTCGGGGTGGATGTCGCTTCGGCTCCATTTCGCAAGCTTTCTTGTGCTTTTTTCATTCTCCAGCCTGCTCATGCACCACCTGAGCCATCCTGGACCGGGTGCTCTCTTTTCTGTCATTTCTGTAAGAAAACAGAGGTGCTGAAAAATTATTATAAAATTTTCTTTTGCAGAGTGGTAGACGGTTGGAATCAGCTAAGTGAGAAGGTGGTGGAGGCCAAACTTGTCAGTAGTTTCAAAGTGTTATACGACAAAGAGTATTGGGAAGGTGGGACACCACAAGTGTAGCTCTCATCCTGTAACTACACTTAGGTATTTACACTTGGGTAATTACATGGAGGGAGGGAAGGGACAGCCTGGGGCTGATATATATATAAAGTGTGAATACAGTATAATGACACAAGAATTGCAATTTTGTATTTTTTTAACCAAATAATATGGACACATCTTATTGACACAAATATATTTGAGCATTCCAATGTGCCACACATTTTATTATATAAACTTCTCTAAAACACACTATTGAATAGCAATAATGCAAAAATCGAGAAAAATCTAATAAAAAACAATGAAATATATAAGTAAAATGTATATTCGCGGCAACTCCTGTTTGAATAGTTGCCGCGAATATATTTTTTGCTGCTTGGCTGGTTCCAGTCAGCCACCCTGGGGTGATTGCTCGACCAATGCCAATGAATCATGATTGTCATCGCGAGGCTTCTAGGCTTCCAGGCTTCACTGCGGCCAAACTAAGGCATATACATTTCCCCTCTTCCCCCTAAGATCATGGTATGCATTTTAACAATATTAGAAGGGAAGTTTTTTTTAGAATTTTATTTTATGTGCACCTGGTTGTTGTGGTATAAACAGTGGCACAGCCGAGGGGTTAAAGGCCCTATAGGAATAGCTTAGAAAGATTTCCATAGTTCTGGTCCCTAATGAATGATCTGCTGATTTGTATTTACAATATTGATTTTTAATTTATATTTCTATAAAATCAAATCTAATTTTTTTATTATCAGATATCAACAATTAGGTCAAAGAAAAAGAAAAAGAAAAGATCAAGAAGCCGCAGCAGCAGCAGCAGCAGCTCTTCTGACTCGTCAGATTCATCTGATGTCAGTTCTGATTATAAATCAGAAAAGGATAAAAGGGGAACAAAAAAGAAGACGAAAAAGAAGAAGAAGATAGGACACAAAAGAAGGCACTCGGTAACAAGCAGTGATTCCTCGGACGTCGACTCCACCTCCAGTTCTGAGGAAGAAAAGAAAAAAAGGAAGGTTAAAGCTAAGAAGGAAAAGAAGGCAAAGAAAAATGTAAGCTGTTAGTAAATTTTTGTGTGTGTGTATTGTTGTGAGAATAGAGTAAGGATGGTTGGGCAGAAGGTGGGTGAGCATGGCAGGTGTAAACAGTGCACGAGATATGGTAAGAGACAAATCTAAGTAACAGCTTTACAAAGAGGAAATAAATGCATTTGTTTGTACTGTAAGAGCTCAGTAATACTGTATACTGTATTACAATACTGTATACTGTAAGAACTCGGTAATCTGAATTCCAGTAACCAGAATGAATTTGTTTTCAAGTCAATGGAGGGTACAGCTGGGGTAAACAATGGAAGTAGCCAGGTCAATGGAGGGTACAGCTGGGGTAAACAATGGAAGTAGCCAGGTCAATGGAGGGTACAGCTGGGGTAAACAATGGAAGTAACCAGGTCAATGGAGGGTACAGCTGGGGTAAACAATGGAAGTAGCCAGGTCAATGGAGGGTACAGCTGGGGTAAACAATGGAAGTAGCCAGGTCAATGGAGGGTACAGCTGGGGTAAACAATGGAAGTAGCCAGGTCAATGGAGGGTACAGCTGGGGTAAACGATGGTAGTAGTTGGGTCAGTGGAGCGTACAGCTAGGGTAAACGACGGAAGTAGCCGGGTCAATGAAGGGTACAGCTGGGGTAAACAATGGAAGTAGCCAGATCAATGGTGGGAGCAATTGGATTGTGGTTAAAAAGAAAATTAAGATTTTTTTAATTTTTGGACATTCCTGGTAAGAAAGTCGGCAAACTTGAATGGGGTGGGCCCTATATAATATCAAACATAGAAAGCACTGTATATGATAATTCATGAGGTGCAATATATAACTAGCCTTATGAAAAGATAGGGTGCTGCAGTGGATGACTGGTGGAGTGTGGTACTGCTTGTTTTTGGTAGGAGCTTCTCGGTTGCTCCCAGAAGCTGTCTTGCTTAGGCGGCTTCTCACTTCCGAGTCATGTCAGCCATAGGAGCTGACAGGAACAGCTGTCCTGTGTGGCCTACCAGGGAGGGCCCAGGGCCAGAACCTGGCCCCCACCTCGTATTGGTGCAGAGAGCCAATGACTGTCACGATCACCCAAACTGAGAAAGCATCCAAAAAGTATGCAGAGCAATACCGGCAACTGTAAGATTCATAGAAAACAAAGCACTGCAACAGCCAGATGACTTGACAAACGATTCATTCAAAACAGTTTGATTCACTCTAACTCAAACCCCCTGCAGGTGGTGCAGTGAGCTCCAGGCTTCCACCCCAGTCAGTACTTTTTTTTTTTTTTTTTTCAATGGTTTAGACCTCCCTGAGTTGCTGGCCATGAGCAAATCCCACTTCTTTCCAAATATTAGTGACATCCATCCTGTGAATTGTCCTATGGGTGCTATTTGCTTGTGTAATGTTCCTAACCTTTAGTATTTGCATTGACTTGATCTGCATATTTTCTAAGAACTGCATGTATTTAGGCCTTAAACGTCAGGGCTGCCCTTCCCTAGGTGCTCGTTTAGCATTGTGACTTGTCTGGTGTGTTTGGGAGCTCAACCCTAAGATGCCTGGCCAGCAGGGTGGAGAGCCTCGCCCTGGGTAGTGCATGAGCTGTTGACTCCTCTGCAGGGAACTGTGGTTAGGGGCATTCAGTTTGTCCTCTTGTCGGGTGCACTAGAAGTAGCATGCTTACTCATACAGAACTGTTGATGCCCTTTGTAACAAAATTCATTCTATAGACTGCATTTAGTGACAGTTCTTTTGGAGAGGCATGCCTGGGTGTCCTGATTGGTTAGTCGTCTTCACGTCCTGGCAACTTCCCTGTGGGTCTGCAGTGTGGCTCATAATGGATACCCATTGAGCCTGCATTCACTATATGCAAGCTGGAGGGATGTTCATGCGAGCCAATGATTGTTCTTTGTCTCCATCATGCTGCCTGCATAGTCGGTTTCAGTTTTGACCCCTGAGGTGGTAAAATTGGGTCTTCATATTTCTTATGAAGTCTTTCCTAATCTACATGTCTGGAGTTTCTAGCAGCTATATCTATTGTGACATCAGTGTGAGGGTTTCTTAGCGCTTCTTTCACCTCTCTCTCTTTGTCCTGTTTCTTCTGTGTGTGTGTGTGTTTCGTTGGTCTTTTTCTTTTTCTCTCTCGTTGTTTGTTGATCAGCATAACATGCCTAATACTGTTGCCTGTTGTTCGGCTTTGTCGAAGTCACTCTTGTTGGCGTTCAGCATTGACCCTTCCTCGGCTCTGTTTCACAGACTATCTCGTGCTTTCTTTCACCTCCAGCTGGCTCTTCCTCCATCTGAGGCATCTTGGTCTCCAATTAAGGTGCTTGTGTTCTTTCCTTCCTTTTGTTGACACTTGCCACTTCGGTAATCTTGAGGTTATCTTGAAATGATTTCGGGGCTTTTAGTGTCCCCGCGGCCCGGTCCTCGACCAAGCCTCCACCCCCAGCAAGCAGCCTGTGACAGCTGACAAACTCCCAGGTACCTATTTACTGCTAGGTAGCAGGGGCATCAGGGTGAAAGAAACTCTGCCCATCGTTTCTCGCCGGCACCCGGGACCACAGGATCACGCGTCCAGTGTTCTGTCCGCTCAGCTACCAGCTGCCTGGCCGGCTGCCTGCCTGGCTGGCTGCCTGGCTATGGTATGAGATGTCCTTTTTAAGGTGCTGATTTTGTTAGCCCATTCCACCCCTGTTTTGGGTCATGAAGCTTCATTATCTCCTCTGAATATGTAGATTCTGTTCTTTTGGCCCTGGAGGCCAGTTTCTCTGATTGCTGCTTTCTCTTTTCTGGCAAAGAATGAATCGGTTGGTTTCTGGAGTGGTCACTCGGTGATTGATGCTTGGTTTGTGTGACTGGAGGTGCATCATTTATTTTATCCCGTGCAGCGGTGTGTCGCTACCTGCTCTGCTTCAGCAGACACCCTGTTTGTTGATCTGGTGATTCGGTCTCTTGTTTCAAGGAACATTTATCCCTGGTTGTCCTTTGTGTCAATAAATTCTCATTTGCTATTGGACTACTCTCTGGTCCATGTGGTTCATGCCTTTGGTTGCAGTGATTTCTACCATGCCATGGGCTGTTCTTTGGCTCCGTCAGATTCCTGGTGACTAGTGTAGTTGCCACTCTCCTCCTTGGTGAGTCCCATTTTCCATCTGTTCTGTTAGATAGCTTCAAGAGAGACTTCCAGAAACCCAGCATTGAATGTAATGAAATGTCTCTTTCTGGTAGAGCCTTGATAGCTTCCCAAGTTTCTCCTCTTCCCTACCAGGTGCACCAGTTCTTGGTTAATCAGCTCCAGATTTGCTCCTCTCTCTTGAGGTCATCTTGAGATGATTTCGAGGCTTAGCGTCCCCGCAGCCCGGTCCACGACCAGGCCTCCTTTTTTGTTACACACCCCCAGGAAGCAGCCCGTAGCCGCTGTCTAACTCCCAGGTACCTATTTACTGCTAGGTGAACAGGGGGCATCAGGCTGAAAGAAACTTTGCCCGTTTGTTTCCGTCTCCACCAGGGCTCGAACCTGGGACCTCAGGACTACGAATCTGAAGTGCTGTCCACCCAGCTGTCAGGCCCTTAATGGCTAATGGATGGGGTGAAAACATAAAGCTCCTGAGGCACTATATGTTGGTAGCCATTTACACGGGGGATCATGCTAGTTTTGAGTAAACCAATTGGTTTTAAAAGAATTATTTGCAGAGTTGTTTGGCTGTTTTGGTGCTTTATTTTCTGTGAATCTTGCAGTTGTGTGTATTGTTTTGCTTACTCTCAGGCATTGGGTGAGTAACAATGCCCAGCTCTTTACTGTCTCAGTGAGGATGGGGGGGGGGGCAGGTTGTGGCTCTGGGTCCTGGTAAGCCAAATATGACTCCTATGGCTGATGTGACTTGGTAGTTATCCTGCCACCTCAGTGGGATAGCTCCTTGGAGCCACCGAGGCCCTACCAGAAAGAGGTGTGTCATTACATTCAACGCTTGGTTTATCCTTGATGTTATATAGTGTGAATGATGTAACGAATAAATGAGTGATGTTATTTTTGTAATATCTCTAACATTTTTTTGCGATTATTCACTTTTATTACACACAGAAATCACAATTGGGTGATGCATCAAATGAACAAATCCACAAGGGCCGTGACGAGGATTCGAACCTGCGTCAGAGAGCCTCCCAGATGCTGCCTTAATCGACCGAGCTACAACATGGTCAAAAGGAGTTGAATCCTCGTCATGGCCCTTGTGGATTTGTTCATTCACTTTTATGTTTGGGGGGTGATGCCACCTCTACCCATGAAAGTGGGAAACAGGAAAGTTGTGACTATAAGTGTGTCTTGGAGTAATGTGCACTCTTCTGTATTTACAGTGAATTTTCTCTGTAACATAATTTTTTTATTTTGAACCCTCCTGGTGCATATTATTTTCATCAGTTTTATATTTTCTCAAAACATTATTGTATTTTTATTAGCATAAATAATAATATACATATTTGACCACCATAGCAGGACCTCCAGGATGGCTATTGGCATGTTCCTATCCATTTTGGTTTCAGAGACTTGCTGGTGTTCTGGACCATTCACACCTGCTACTGTCATGCACTCCCCTACTGGATAAATCTCATACCCAGAAATTAAACTAGATTCACTACTGTGGCTCTTCAGGTGCTCCTGTCTCGAGAGATCGGTGTCTGCCTGGTCGGATGACAGCCTCTTTTGGGCCTCCTTTGACTTTACCTGCTGGCCCTGGCTTGTGAGTTGGCATTGCTGAATAAGTTAGGCTTTGTTGTTACCTTACTTTGTGTTGATTCTGGCACTGGACTGGAATCTCTCAAACTCGAACTCTTCCTTGTGACTACAGACTGTTGGACACAGTTGCTCACAGCCTGACGGGTGAATAACAGCCTGTTTGATCAGGTATCGTTTGGGGGTGTTTGTCAAGTTCTCTCTTGAACACTGTGAGAGGTCAGCCAGTTAGTCCCCTTATGTGTAGTGGAAGTGTGTTGAGCAGTCTCTGGCCTGTAATATTGATAGAGTTCTCTCTCAGAGTACCTATTGCACCTCTGTTTTTCAACAACAGATTTTCAAGCCCAATTTTATGCCTGAGATAAGTGGATTTATGCTTGCAAGGTGCTTGCAATATTCAAATTCCTTATCCATAATCCATGGATCATGCTCAAATTGGGTATCAAATAGCTCTCCTTATTGAAGATAATTTTGAGGCAATGGAGTGACTTGAATCACCAGGCGCTCTGGTGATTCCCAGATGCCTGCCTTAACAGATTCAACCATGATGGACTAAAAGTCAACCAACCCGGAATTCTACTGGATTCACCGAGACGTTCCGGAGGCCTTAAACTGGAGCCCAACATTCCAGTTTGGGGTCCCTCCAGAACCTCCCAGTTGATTTCCAGAACCCAGTCCAGAACCCCTCCAGAACATCCCAGTTGATCTCCAGAACCCCTTCAGTTGGTGTGTATACAAGTTATGGCAGACAGCCACTGTGAGCTGTCTGTCATAAGCATTGATGCAGATTGTACATCCTGTAGATATGCTAATTGATGTTACATTGCACATTAACATTGCAAAATAATAGTAATATTGTACATCAAACAAGTTAGTGAGAACACTACTTGGTGGTCCTTGTAATGGCAACAGTGCCTTGGAAAGGCTTTGAATGTTTAAGAATGGACTCTGTGTAGGCTCGGGTAAATTGCATGCTTCTTTTGTATCTTGCTAGTAGCAGTATGGCCAGGCTACAGGAGTGTTGCACATACTTGTTGGTATGCTGTATTAGATCTGTTTCATGGCTACAATTTGACTGTTGGTATTATTCTTGATGACCATCTCTGCTCTTCCCAGAGGGGCAGCAGCAGTGGGTGCTATGGGATGCACAAGCATCTTTTCACTTGTTCAAAATATGTGCTGTGTAAATGCAGAATATTACTGCTCTTTGCAGACAGTGTGTCACAATAACGTGGCTGAAGAAATGATCACCAAACCACAACTCGGAAGACGGAGAAGCGACGACGTTTCTGTCCGTCCTGGACCATTATCAAGTTGTGTGAAACACTGTTGCTTGTTCATCTTCAGAGTTGTGGTTTGGTCATCATCACTCTGCCCTCACTACAGTGTCATGGTTATTTCCAATACAACATTTAGTGATCTTGCCTTAGGCAGCATCAATGTCTTTCCTGAAAGTGGCTTTTTCATATTAACTGAAAGCCTGATTTTTGTTGTTACTAAAGAGAAATCATTATCACATGTTAATACGATAATGTCTACATATTTTGCAACTACTGTAATAGTGGAGTAACCAATTACTCCCTATGTAATAAATAGGGAGAACTCCCTATTTATTACATAGAGAGTTTGACTTAACCTTTCTTATATTTACCTTAAACTTTGACTTTACCTTTCATTAGGATAAACTTCCACAGTAACCAATTGCTGTGGAACCAATTACCGCTTAACGTGGTGGAGGTGGGGTCCCTCGATTGTTTCAAACGTGGGTTGGACATGTATATGAGTGGGATTGGGTAGTCATAAATAGGAGCTGCCTCGTATGGGCCAATAGGCCTTTTGCAGTTACCTTTGTTCTTGTGTAACACAAACAGAAATGTAAATACAGACTTATAAGAAATCTTAAACAATCTCATTAATGATTCTTGTTAATAAGCCACTAATTGGATACCAACAAAGCTGCACATAAAGACTTATTAGACATGTTAGATAATCTTCTTAATAATTCTTGTTGGAAGACTACCATCTAAATACCAAGAGAGTGAGTTACCAATTCATCTCTGCAATACAGGCCAAAATGTACCCATTCTGAATCACTTTATTATTTTATTGTTAAGCAGAACTGCTTGAATATTTATTGTAATATATATTAAATTGCATAGCTCACTATATTTATTGCATTCCCAGAAAAAACACGATGTCAAAGAAAAGAAGAAGAAAAGCTCCAAGAAGACCAAGAAGAAAAAGAAGAAGAAAGAAGACAGTGATGATGACAGTGATGATAAGTTAAGCCCCAACAGAGATAAGAAGCACCGACACATGGAAGAGAAAAGGTGGGGAGATAGGAGCATATCCAGACGTGATAGAGATGAAGCGAAAACAAAAGATAGAGACATGAATCGCTCTCAAAATAAAGAGTCACAGAGACATAGGGCGAGAGAGAGTAGTAGGGACAATGAAGGAAGGAGAGGGCAGGATCATAGAAGAGAGAGAAGCAGGGATTATAGAAGGGAAGGGAGTGCAGAGAGAGAAAGATCAAGGGAAAAGAAAATGGAAAAAAGAAAGGAAAGAGATAAAAGTAATGATAGAGAGAGAAAGAGAAGGCATAGTTCACCCAGACACCCTGGAAATAAACGTGTAAGTAGAAGCAGGAGTAGGGAAAGAAGCAAAAGTAACGCAAGTAAAGCAAGAACAAGTAAACAAAGATTAACGGAGGAGGAAATGGAGATAAAGAGGCAAGAGATGATGGAGGCGGCAAAGAAACGAGACGAGGAAAGGAAACAGAATGTTCTGCGGTACGAAGAAGCAAGAAAGAAGGAAGAAAACATGGAAGAATCAGTGGAAAAGTTCATGAGGTAAATCTTGTATTGTATTAAGTACCATTAATTAATTAATTAATTAATTAATCTGCAACAGTTATATAGTACAAGCCTTTCATGAAATTATCAGATGGTATGAGAGAGTAAGAATGTCAGCTTAAGTACAAGTATGGAATTTGACGTGAAACTCTTATGAGAGAGTAATTTGTGTTTAACAACCATCATCTCTGAATAAACTGGCACTTGTTGCATAAACTATGGAAATGGAATATAGTTCTCATGAACTATATTCCATTTCCTCATAAGCCAAGTTATTTTGATACCCTGACTTGTATAGGAGGCAAGGTCCTCATACTCTACAGTACATTGGTGAGACTTTCTCGCACCCTAAGTAATCTTGACGGTGAGGTTCTTTTAACCACTGATGTGCCAAGTTTATTGTGAAATTTCCCCTGTGCGCATGAAATCAAGTGTTCCCCCCAAATTTTTTTTTCGTTGTAAAATGATAAATTCCCTTCCCTGATCATGACTATGTAAAAATAAATACCAAATTCCACTTACTTTGGATGTGGGGATGTGAACAAGGTACGCTCTGACCTCATCAGGGGCTGGTCGCCCGTGTATGAAGCTCCAAGACATGGTCGCGCGGGCCATTCAAGCACCGCGTGTTGCCACAAATATATTTTCAATTATTTGTTCTATGTATTTCCAATGCAGTTTTATTTTTTTTTTTATCATATATGATGCATATTTGTGTCCTTTACAATATGTATACAGTAGAATGTTCATAATGTTCCATGGAACTGTGATACATGTGTCAGTAATGTGTCCACAATAAATGTTTATTGTCGCAATACCACTTGTTAAAAATTCACTAAAATTACAATATGTACAGTTTCACACACTATTTACACAGTAACACACTGTATTACACACTCAGTACTTTGGAAGTGAGTAATAATCAACGAAGTAGTCCATGGTTCACAGCGCGCCTTCGCTCTCATTGCACCAGATACAGATAGATTTTCGTTTACTGTTTCTTCATTCTGTGTGCTTACACATAACGCACTCACGTGCACCCTTGGCTTTAGTACTTGTAGGTGGTATGTAGCCAAGCTTGTAAAGCATAATGTAGTATTGAAAAGATTATAGGAAAAGATCACTTTGTAAGGTTCCACACAGGAAGAGATTCAGCCACCCTCGAAGAGTGTCTGTCAGTCTGGAAGAGATTCTGGCATTCTGGAAGAAATTCAGCTAGCCTTAAAGAATGTCCGTCAGCCTGGAAGAGATTCAGCTATTCTTGAAAATATCTATGGAAAACACCACCATGAAAGCCGCTAACACTGTTCATCTATGCTACTTTTATCAGATGCATCATCACTGAATACAGAAAACGATTCGTCAATGTATCATCTATATAAATTGTATCGTCCTCATAAGTGCTGTATCACTTGCATCTGACCTTTGTGTTATGTCCTTATTGCGCCTAGCTTCACCAATAACAGGACCCTTATGTTCTTCAAACAATAAGGTTTGAATTTCACTGACAGGGCGCGATCTTTCAACACCGCGTCGGACAGGTGTTTGGGAGCCAGAGGTGAGTGCGCCACCCATTGGTTACACACTCGGTATTAATCCAGCCAGCAGCCCTAGGGCATTCTGGGAAATTTTTCAAAGATGGCTGCCTCTCGCTGGAGGTCCTAAGAGTCTGTTTCATACACAACCAACTGCGCACACATTTTGAATGGGTACGAAAAAATCAGAGTTTTCTCGGTTAGCCCAGTCCAGTGGTTAACCTACCTTATTTAGGCAGGTGGTGTGGTAGAAGCCTTCATCTTTATTTCTCAGTTGGCTTAGCTTCACAGCAGTTTCCAGTAAACCTTTCTATCGATATGAAAGTTTATCATTCCTTTCCCAGTTCTTGGGGCATTTTCATTTTGTTAATGAACTATTGTTCTTACCTGTAACTCGGTTGTTCCCTTATGTATGACATGCCTCGGGTGTGGGTTATGTCTGCTGTAAAATAGGTGGGAAAGTACAAAAAAGTACTGGTCATGCATCTTCCACCATCACTCGATGTGTTCACAGACACCTCAGCTCTGGGTTGGGATTCATGACCAGTGCTCGCCAGGTCATCCAAGGTCAGTGTTCTGGACCATTCCATTGAGCACACAGTACATTGTACAAGTTTGCAGCTGTGTGACATACTCTGAGGAGGGTTTGGCTTCATCTGGGCTGTGTTCTGGCTCCATTCCAACTGCATCTCGGAGGTTCATTGCCTGAACTGCAATGGGGAGGATCACTTTGGTTCTTTACCCTTTGGAGCTGAACACTTTGAGAAGCTTGGTTTTTGAATTCTTGGGGTTTTGTTCTCCATGTGGTTCACTTGTAGTGCATGTCCAATGTTGTAATGAATGGGTTACCTGTATCTCGCTTCCGTCCCATTTCCACAGAGTGGACCATCGATGATGTAATCTTCCATTGGGTCTGCAAGACATTCGGTTGCCCCAAGTTGGACCTCTTTACATTAATGTGGAACCAGCATCTTCCCTACTGTGTGGCTTCAATCCCTGATCATTAGGCTTACTTGGTAGATGACTTTCAACTGAACTTTTTGAGGAGGTGCATTACCTCTTTTTCCCTGGTTCAGTTTTTGCTTAGGGTCCTGTCCAGTCTGGAGTTGTACTGGGTGAACGTGATCTTTCTGGCTCCTTGGTGGCCAACTTAGCCTTGGTTTCCAGCTCCTCTAGTTTGGTGTCCAAACTCGAGCATTTTAATTCAGCTCCACCTTTATCAGTGGATCAGCCTGGCGGCATTCCTTGCTGGTTCGGGCTGATCTGTTCTACTCATGTGGAGTTTTTGACAAGTTTTTGACACAGGTTTTGACACATTTGTATGGCGAGCAGGTAGCTGGATTATTGGTATCTCGCCTGCAATCTTCGCAGTGATAATAGGAAGTTTCTTGGCACTTGTTTCATATTTTCCTGTCTCTGCATTGGCCTTCTTCAGTTTGTCCAAATGGTTCTTTTTGTTGATGCCTGTCATGGAATAACTACGAGCCCATTACTGTTGCTTCTTAACATGCAGCATTGGCGGAATCGTTATTGCTTGCATTTGGTGTAGATTCAGCACCATTCTACAGTTTATCTCGTGTATTTCTCGCCAACAGCCCACTCTAGCTTCTCCTCAACCATTCTGGTCTCTTGACAGGGTTTTGGTGTTTCTCTCCTCATCTCTATGATTCACGGTTTCCCCTTTGACCAGATATTTTTTCGCAATGTTTTTCTTTCCTCTTGCTCCAGATTCCGTGTAGGTGACCTTCATGTTCTTCTCCAGGGGTATGGTTGCTGATTCTTTGACCTGATGAGCATTTTATTCATCTACAGACTTCTTTTCTAGTAAAGAATGAGTCTGCTGCCTTCTGGAGGGGCTTCCTTGGGTATTGATACATGGTTGGTGCATAATTTGTTATGTCCAGTGATGGCTCTGCACAGTTACCTGCAGGCCACTAATTCTGTCTTGGATGATGCATTGTTCTTGACCTCATTTCCTTGGCTGTTGCAAGGCTTTTATTTCTGAGGTCATCTACAGTGTCATTAAGTCTAGCCAGCCTGTGGTCTACCCTCAGTTCGCAAGTATTGGCGGCAGTCTTCTCTAACATGTCTTTAGCTGATTTTCAGGCTCGGGGGTTTTGGCAGCTCATTATTTGATTAATGACCCTGTTGGTCTTATGTTGCTCTGAGCCATGTTTCCTGGCTAGGAAACATGGAAACATCACTCTTTCTCATCTTAGTAACATCTCTCCTCCTTCCCGGTAAGTAATGGTCATTTAGCTTCAGGGCGCCACCAAGGGTTTCCCGAGAAACCCAGTGTTCAATTTAATGACGTGCATCTTTCTGATGGAGCCCCAATGGCTTCTCGATTTTCCCTTCCCTTTCAGGTTCGTCAGTTCATCAATGGATTGTTCGTCGGGTCCAGAACTGATTCAGGGAGTCGGCTGTGGACAGGGGCCTGGACTGCCTGGTGGTGGCTATTTGCACTAACTTCAGAGGGTTTGAGCTAGTTTTGAGTGAACCAATACTTTTATTTTAATTTTTTACGGCAACCCGTCCTCAGACGAAGTTGATTTCATCCAGTGGTCGATCCCAAAGATGCATTCATAAATTCTAACATGCTGCTTATTCAAAATAGGAATTTTCTCAAATATACATTATATTAATAATGTTATATATTAGCATACTGTGCATATCTAAGCATTAGTTAGGTAAGGTTTTGTGTGTAGGTTCTGTTGGCGATTATTTGTATTTGTAGTATGTGAGTGAAGCATTTACAGTGTTGTAGTTTGAACGAAAGTCATTAGCGAAGCACTTGTTCCGAAAGTGTTTGAACGTCATCAGTTGAGTCGTTTGTATGCCATTTTTCATTCACAAATGGGGTTTGGCGGGTGCTTGTAATGGACTTTGGCCTTTGTTTATGAGGATGGGCTGCTTATGGAATTGTTTGGTTGTTTTGATGCTTCATTTTCTGTGAACCATGCAGTTATCTGTAAAGCTTCATTGACTTTCTGGATGCTTTCCCAATGGAATGACAGACTGTTACTCGCTCTCTGCACCTCTGTGAGGGGCCAGGTTCAGGTGCCAGAGGTATGCTATTACATTCAATGCAGAGTTTATAATTGCTTCATCTGTTGAATATTTTACCTTAGACGGCAACTGAGTGTGATAGCTTAGAATTCTAATAAAGCTTTGAATAGTCTGAAAAATCCCTTACTTCAGAGTCAGAGATCATGTGGTTATGCCAAATTAAGGTTTTGAGTTTTATACGGAGTACACCTCTGTTGGCCATTCCAGGCTGGACTAAGGAAGCTCCATCGATTACCTAGCAGATTTCCTGTGGCTTCAGTGCCAGAACATCATCTTATTTGTTTCAAGTCCTAGTCAGATAGCACAACAGATCTTATCTTGAAAGGTAGCCAAATGATGCATTTCTTATTTCAATCATAGCCTTGTTATTAGATGGGACTGTTTGTGAACCCC